CGAGGGGGCGGGCGGGGCCCCCACCGTCTTCAGCAGGATCATCGCCCGCAGCGTGCCCGCCGCCATCCTCTATGAGGACGACAAGGTAGGGCGCCGCGGCGCGCGTGTCCCCTCCCGGGGCAGGGCGGGTGGCAGCACCCCCGGGCGCGGGGCTCACCCCGCGCCCCCGTCCCCCCCGGCAGTGCCTGGCGTTCCGCGATGTGGCTCCCCAAGCCCCCGTCCACTTCCTGGTGATCCCCAAGCGCCCCATCCCCCGGATCAGCCGCGTGGGTCCCCAGGACGCCGAGGTGAGTCCGGGGGTGTCTCTGGGACATGGAGGGGGACACACACACAGACGGTGCTGACCCTCCCCCCCCGCAGCTCCTGGGCCACTTGCTGGTGGTGGCGGCACGGACGGCGCAGGCAGAGGGGCTGGCTGATGGCTACCGCCTCGGTGAGTTGGTGGCCCCTGCCGTGCCATGGGGCAGGACCCTCACCGGTGGTCCCAGCTGTGTGTGTGTGTGTGTATTTCCTGACCCCCTCTCCCATTCCCTGCAGTGATCAACGATGGGAAGCACGGCGCCCAGTCCGTCTATCACCTGCACCTCCATGTGCTGGGGGGGCGGCAGCTGGGCTGGCCTCCAGGCTGAGCACCCCCAGCCCACCTCCCGCACAATAAAGCATCCTCCTGGTGGAATCTTTGGTAGCTGTGTGTCATGGTGGCCCTCCTGGGCGTAGGGGTAGCCATCATAGGCAGAGGCGGCTTCAGGTGTCACAGCAGCGGGGGGGACACAGGTGGGACTTGGTGCCTGCTACTTGAATTGCGGGGGTTGGGCTCTGGGCTCCCCCCCTGCCAACCTGCCCACACTGGAGATACTCCGGAGACCCCCAGTTGAAGCAAGAGGCTTTTGGCGGGCCCCAACATCCCACAAACACAAGGCCCATACTGGTGCAAGGTGGGGGAAGCAGGCTGGATACACAAGGAACATCCCAGAATTGCCCCATGCCTCAGGCTACCCACCTAGCCCCACTGCCACCACACAGACCCAGCACCCTGGGTGCCCCCCAGGCACTCCCATGTTCCTGACAGCTGCATGCTGGGTACTGGTGTGTTTCTGCCTTGGGAAAGCGAGCTAATGGCACTAAATTGAACTACAAGCACTACTTGCACTCTTACTGCTCCCCACCACGATACCACCCCGCAACTCAATTCCCACACCACCAGCGTGTGCACTCCCATGCACTGCGCTGCACAGCCCAGACCCCCCATTCTTGCACCACTGTGCGGAACCCTGCTGCACTGAGCGGGGTGGCTCACTCACTGTGGTCACTGGCAAAAGACAGACTCCGTAGGGGAAGTAAAAGAACTTCCATTTTAATTCAAACACTACCACTTAACAGAGTAGGACAGTGAGAAGCATTCCCACATGTTGGAAACACCTTCCTCCCACCTCTCCCTCCTTCCCCGGCTCCGCTTTGCTCCCCATTTCTCCACATCCCAATTTCTCTACCTCCTCACCCCCAGAGGCAACAGGGGGCAGGGAATGAGGGTTACAGTCAGTGCTACTGCTCCTGCTCCTTCGTTATTTGGGGAGGACTCCTTGCATTCTTCCCCTGCTCCAGTGTGGGGTCTCTCCCAGATCAGGCAGTCCTCCCAGCGCTGAACTACAACAGCGGGGCTTCTCACAGAGTCCCGGCCTCCTTGGGTGCAGCCACCTGCTCCAGCGTGGGGTCCTCCACGGGCTGCAGGTGGGCATCTGCTCCACCGGTGATGTCCATGGGCTGCAGGGCACAGACTGCCCTCACCATGGGCTGCAGGGGGTCTCTGCTCTGGCACACCTCCCCCTGCTCTACTTTTTTCAACTGACCTGCACAGGTATTTCCCTCACAACTCCTGCTTACAAATCCCACTCCTCCCACGCTCCCCTTCCAAAATAAGTTATCACAGATGTGCAGCTACCATTGCTAATTGGCTCAGCCATGGCCAGAGGCGGGTCTAACTTGGAGCCAGGGGAGTTTTAAAAATGATCATTCCAATCCATATTCATTATTGTTACAGAGGCTCGTAAATAACAATCAAAAATTAAAACTTTATTATTAACACAATTAACTGCCCCCCAACCATTCAACAGCAGATTTGAATGTCTGTAAGAGGACAACAAAACACCACTCCCTAGGGTTTAACAACCCCAAAAGCCTCTATCACACACCTAACAATGAGGACTCTCAACCTCAAGGAACTTCTCAGGCAGCGACCCGACCCATAGGAACCTCAAGGAGTTTCCTTGGCCAGCATTCCAACCCAAGGGGAGAGTCCTCTACTGCAGCATCCCACTCCAAGGGGGAACTAGCTCAAAATGGCTGCCACAGGGGATTCTGTTTATACTCAGCTGGATCTGATCTGTGGTCAATAGCGGCTCCCGTTGGCCAAAGGCCCCAACTACCATGAAGCCGGGAGAACAAGGACAATCAGTAGCTGCTACAATTCAGCTGCCAAGAAGCCCTGTTTTCCCTGGGCGGGTGTGCCTGCCATACGATCCACCTCGTGACCACAGTCATGATACGGCTGGTTTCCCTGAAGTGGTGGTGCAGTCACCTCTTGCCTCCAAGGTTAAAAGGGAGCGCAGTCCAGTGAGTTTCAATACTCCTTGTGGATCCTCATTCCTACATAATTACAGAAACAAATCTCAGAAAAACCCATACTCTAACAGGAATCTACTACTTGCACACTAATACAATCTATTACAGTCAACTGTAGGAAGCTGATTAACCATTCTAACAAGGAAGATTTAAATATATCCAGTCAACCAATTAATGCTTAATACAGTAACAATTGCCTCAAGTCTCTTGCCCTTCTTCATTTGTTGACCTAAAGTGGCATTAACAAAACCTGGACATAAATACACTTTCCTCCTTTAATAGCAGAAAGTTCAATCATGTTCTGAAAGGTACTAAATTCATGAGATTCATTCACCACCACGTTGTCATCCAAGTCTTGATTGTCCATCACTATTACCAATCAGGATGCCAAAGCCATCTGTTTCTTCAAGACCCTGAAAAAAAAAAAAAAAAAGGGCTCAGATTAGAACCCAGGCATCAAGTTAAAAGTCAGGGATCATACTCTGTGTGCCCACCCCAAGAAGTGACTCCCCTAATCTAATTTATTTGTTTTTGGTGTGAGCACGTAGCTAAATTATTGTTTTAACCCCTTCACCATATTTCCCTAGTAAAGAACAAAACAGGCCTAGTAAGATCAGATAATACACATAATGACCCACTCAACAACCAAAACAGAAGTCCTATGATGAGCTTCTGAAAATCTGCAAAACACAAACAGCGGGACAATTCACCAGGTGTGAATTTGGTGATCCTTCCCAGGTGTGTCACTGGCTTTCCATGCTTGAATGAGCTTTTCCAAGGCCATAGCAGGCATACAGTGTATTAAATCCTGGGAAATCTCTTTTTCAATTCCCTCAGACCATTAGAAATTCTTTAAGTGTAGGCGTTGATCCTTAAGAGGGTTGTGTGCGATATTTGAGTGCAATATAAACCACATGCTGAAATAATGGTGTTGCACAGTTCCTTGGTTACGGACCATCCCCTGCTCACTGCCTCTTTAAATAAATTTTTGCTCCCTGAGTGACCTCCCTTACCACTCTAATAAGTGCTCACATTTCTCTGCTTCCTTTGTACCAACTCCCACACCTGAGCACTGCCCTCCCCTTCTGTCACCATTCCATATCCTGCATTTCTACACCTTCCCCTTTCTCCTAGAGGATGTACCAGTGAACCACCTGGTTTTAAGGTGGGGCTTGAATGGAGGAGCAGGTTTTATGCATGAGAGAGGAGGGTCGATGTCTGGGTGATCAGAGAGCAGATCTTGTATTTGGACCACTTCAGGTCTTCCCTCCCCACCTGCCCCGTGTGTCAATAATGATATAACTGTGCATTCGCTGCCTGACTCCCACAGCAGGGGTGTTACAGATATTTTAACCCCTTCTCCGGGCATGGTTTTGGGGAGCTCTTGAGCCAGTGCCTTGGTGGCAGTTGTCAGAGTGCCGATATCCCTGGGGGAGACGTGTGACTAAACCCCATGCCTTCCCATGGGAGAGCAAAGCCATCTCTGTTTGCTTCCTGCAAAGGGGACCCCAAAGAGCCCATCGCCCCAGTCCCAGGCCTGGTGGGCACGTTCCTGCAGGGCTGCACCCAGCCCAGCCACACCAGACCCCACAGCAGCGCAAGGGTCTGGATGGGCATTCAGCCACCAATAAACAACTGGTAATCACCACATTTGGTTTGGTTTGCCAACTGGCCACACTGGAGAACTATAAGGTGAATGTGTATGACTCATAATCTCTCTTTTTTCAAGATCATCAATCACCTCTAAAACACGTCCTTTGGCAGCAGTTGGCAATGGATAGCGAGAGACACAGGTCACTTTAGATTGTGGTATTAAAGGAGCAACCTGCAAAATTCTTACCCGAATAACCCCTGTCCCCCTACCTCCAAAACTCCACTGTCTGTTAAACACCACTGTTTACCTGCCAAAACATCAAACCCTAATACAATTAATTTTTAAGGACTTAAAGTCACCTCCACTGCTGTCATCCTCTTTTTCCCTGGTAACCAAAACTGCATTCACACTATGTGACACTTTTCTACCGCCCCTATCTCATACATCACCCAATGACAGCCACCTTTTGTACTCACTCTACCAATTCCAACAACCCCTTCACCTTAATGGTAACAGGTTCTCCCCTCTCCTCAGGGTCCACAGCCCCAGCCCAGTATGTCACTCGAGATGTCACCAACTGGTTACCCACTGGTCCATCACTCCAGGACCCCAGAACCCTCCCTTTTCATCATTACTCAACAGAATTCAGTGTGTCCCGCCCCC